TCTTATAATTTGGTGATCATTTTGAATATAAACATCATATATTTTGCATTAGACATACAAATTTTAGATAAAATTTTTTCTCTGAGTAACTATGTTATCTTTTGTGCAAAATATATGACATTTATATTCAAAATATTCCTGGTCTTACAAGGAATCCAGCAATGTCAATTATATTATCCTAACTTTAGTTTGAGGTATTATTTATTACAAAAAAGTAAAAATTTATTTTTTTCACCCACCCTTTCTCTTGAAGGGAGGATTGGTGGGGGGTGGGGGGGAGGGTTGGGACTGACCGCGCTGTTGGAAGAGGGGGGAGGCAAGGTGGGGTACTTTGATAGACAGATAGTGTCATGAAGATTATTTTTTTTTTTATTAACTGAAGATATTTGTTTTAGCTCATAAAATTCATACAAATTACCCGGCCAGAATATAATTTACATTGCTGGAATTCTTACAATTTGGTGACCATTTAGAATATAAACATCATATATTTTGCATTAGACATACAAATTTTAGATAAAATGTTTAATCTGAGTAAATATGTTATCTTTTGTGAAAAATATATGACATTTATATTCAAAATATTCCTGGTCTTACAAGGAATCCAGCAATGTCAATTATATTATCCTAACTTTAGTTTGAGGTATTATTTATTACTATACCTGGTTTTCCCCCCAAAATTTCTCAGAGGGAAGAGCCAGCAGTGTAGTGTGAGAAGAGGGGGGAGGGAGTCGTGTCCATTATTTGAATGGACATTAACTTGGCGACTGTATTTCTCTATTTCTCTTAAGTATTAATTGTGTGCATGTACCATCATAAAATTAAGATGTTATTTTTACTAGAACATAGGTATTGTGTTGGAAAAAGTGGAGTTTGGAGGTCAGCTGGTCTCTCTTTCATTTAATCCCATATGTTATGTTATTCACTTTACGCGTTTCTCACTTTCCGCGGTACCCTGTGGGTTACATTAACCGCGTAAAGTGAGGGTTGACTGTATATATATATATATATATATATATATATATATATATATATATATATATATATATATAGGTATATATATATATATAGATATATGTATATATATATATATATATATATATATATATATATATATATATATATATATATATATATATATATATATATATATATATATATATATATATATATATATATATATATATATATATAATATATATATATATATATATATATATATATACACAATGAACCCTCACTTTATGTGGTGAATTGAACCCACGGAGGCCCGCGTAAAGCGAGAAACGCGTAAAGTGTACAACATAACATATGGGATTAAATGAAATAGAGACCGGCTGACCCCCCAAATCCACTTTTTCCGACACAATACCTATGTTCTACTAAAAATAACATCTTAATTTTATGATGATACATGCACACAATTAATATTTAAGAGAAATAGAGAAATACAGTCGCCAAGTTAATGTCCATTCAAATAATGGACTCAACTCGCTCCCCCTCTTCTCACAGTCGCTGGCTCTTCCCTCTCTGAGAAATGTTTGGGGGAAAACTACTAGATTTCGAGGTATAGTAATAAATAATACCTCAAACTAAGGTTACGATAATATAATTGACATTGCTGGATTCCTTGTAAGACCAGGAATATTTTGAATATAAATGTCATATATTTTCCACAAAAGATAACATATTTACTCAGAGTAAACAAAATACTTACATTAGATCTAAAATTTGTATGTCTAATGCAAAATCTATGATGTTTATATTCAAAATGATCATCAAATTGTAAGAATTCCAGCAATGTTAATTATATTCTGGCCCGGTAAAGTATAATTTTTTTTTTTTTAGCTCATAAAATTCATACAAATTACCCGGCCAGAATATAATTTACATTGCTGGAATTCTTACAATATGATGATCATTTTGAATATAAACGTCATGGATTTTGCATTAGACAACAAATCTTAGATCTAATGTAATAATTTGGTTTACACAAAGCAAATATTTTATCGTTTGTGCAAAATATAGGAAGTTTACATTCAAAATATTCCCTGACCTGCAAGGAATCCAGAAATGTCAATTATATTATCCTAACTTTAGTCTGAGTTATTATTTATTACTAAAAATGTAAATATACTATCTTCTCCCAAACGTTTCTCTGGTAGGGAGGGAAGGTGGGGGGTGGGGGGTAGGAAGGGAGGGACCGACCCAGCTAGGGCGGAGGTGGGGTATTTTGATTGACAGATAGTGTCCTTAAAGAATATTTCTTTGTTTATTTACTGAAATATTTGTTTCAGCTCATAAAATTCATACAAATTACTCGGCCAGAATATAATTTACATTGCTGGAATTCTTACAATATGATGATCATTTTGAATATAAACATCATGGATTTTGCATTAGACATACAAATTTTAGATCTAATGTAATAATTTGGTTTACACAAAGCAAATATTTTATCTTTTGTGCAAAATATATGAAGTTTACATTCAAAATATTCCCTGACCTGCAAGGAATCCAGAAATGTCAATTATATTATCCAACTTTAGTCTGAGGTATTATTTATTACTAAACGTTAAAATCTAGTTTTTTCACCCAAACATTTCTCAGAGAGGTAGGAGCTAGTGAGCTGGAAAGAGGGGGGGGGGGGATTTGAGTCCATTATTTGAATGGACATGAACCGGGCGACTGTATTTCTCTTAAATATTAATTGTGTGAGCATACCATCATAAAATTTAGATGTTATTTTTACTACAACATAGGTATTGTGTCGGAAAAAGTGGAGTTAGGGGGTCGGGCCAGTCTCAATTGGAATTAATCCCATTTGTTCTGTTGTTCACTTTACGCGGTTTTCGTTTTCCGCGGTACCCTGTGGGTTCAATTGACCGCGTAAATCGGGGTACTACTGTACATGAATATATAACAAATTTCAAAACTGCTATGCTAGAAATAAGAAACTCGAAGTACTGTGAGAATCCTTCAAAGACGCTCATGGCTGAAGCAAAGGAAGTATGTGACTGTTTATGTGTTGATATAGTGGAGAGATATTCTTTCACTAAACAATTAGTAGCTGCTAAATTATTCAACAAGAAAAGCTTCACTAGTTTTAAGAATAAACTGCCTACAGAAGAGATAGGATTGACCACTAAAGCATATCCCATGAGTGACAAAGAAAAATTTGAAACTGAACTTAGAGTATTCTACAGTAGGTCCGATATGCATGAATATTGCAGGTTAATTAACCTGCTGAAATTTATCTTGGAAAATAATTTAGATGGTGTTCTCAGTGAGATTACGAAACTAATAAAAATCCTCTTGACAATTCCTATGACTACATCAGAGACTGAATGCTGCTTTTCAACATTAAAAAGAATAAAAACTTTTCTGAGGAGCGCTATGAATCAGGAAAGGCTAAATGCATTTGCAATGATTTCAATGGAGAAATTTTTTTTAACGGTCATCCAAACTCAATGAGAAAGTTGTTGACCTTTTTGCTCAAAAGAAAACAAGCAGCACCCCCATGAATTAGAGTCACGAGCCGCCACTGATCATGAGCTGTATGTATGTTTCTTGTTTCATATGGAACATACTGTATGAGTCACTGCACAGGTAGTAAAGTGTGCCTAAGTACAGTCAACCCTCACTTTACGCGGTTAATGTAACCCACAGGGTACCACGGAAAGTGAGAAACGCGTAATGTGAATAACATAACATATGGGATTAAATGAAATAGAGACCAGCTGACCCCCAAACTCCACTTTTTCCAACACAATACCTATGTTCTAGTAAAAATAACATCTTAATTTTATGATGGTACATGCACACAATTAATACTTAAGAGAAATAGAGAAATACAGTCGCCAAGTTAATGTCCATTCAAATAATGGACTCGACTCCCTCCCCCTCTTTTCACACTACACTCGCTGGCTCTTCCCTCTGTGAGAAATTTTCGGGGGAAAACCAGGTATAGTAATAAATAATACCTCAAACTAAAGTTAGGATAATATAATTGACATTGCTAGATTCCTTGTAAGACCAGGAATATTTTGAATATAAATGTCATATATTTTTCACAAAAGATAACATATTTACTCAGAGTAAACATTACATCTAAAATTTGTATGTCTAATGCAAAATCTATGATGTTTATATTCAAAATGATCATCAAATTGTAAGAATTCCAGCAATGTAAATTATATTCTGGCCGGGTAATTTGTATGAATTTTATGAGCTAAAACAAATATCTTCAGTTAATAAAAAAAAAATATTCTTCGCACATGCCAGGTGGTCGGTCGCCGGTCCCTCCCTACCAGATAAATGTGTGGGAATACCAGACTGTTTACCTTTTTAGTAATAAATAATAAATCAGACTAAAGTTAGGATAATATAATTGACATTGCTGGATTCCTTGTAAGACCAGGAATATTTTGAATATAAATGTCATATATTTTGCACAAAAGATAACATATTTACTCAGAGTAAACATTATATCTAAAATTTGTATGTCTAATGCAAAATCTATGATGTTTATATTCAAAATGATCATCAAATTGTAAGAATTCCAGCAATGTAAATTATATTCTGGCCGGATAATTTGTATGAATTTTATGAGCTAAATAAAAAAATTATACTGTACTTCACCCGCGTAAAGGGGTACACCCACCGCGGAATGTGAGCATCCTGGGTTCTGGCAGGGCACCGTGTAAACGCGGAATGTGGGACCGCGTAAAGTGAGGGTTGACTGTACTCAGTAATGTAATCTCTCAAGAAGTTATGTGCATGATCACATGCACAAAGTTCATGAACACCTAATGTACATAATGGATATTTTAAGTGCATAGAGGGACTTTCATGCAAGAGCAGACTTTGAGAAGTGGCAATGAAAAAAAGTTGCCAAGTACGAAAATGAAAGATGGACAACAAGAAAAGTAACATCATACAACTCCAAAGGCAAAATCTAGATACAATTTGAGCATAATTAACCACGAAACAATTCTCACCCAGAGCTTGCCGATATCGATCATCTTTGCAGAAGGATTGTTGATGTGGATACGTTCCTTAAGAAGGTTAGAGCCATACGCGAAGTAGAGGAAACAATTGCGAGAAGCCATTCTTGTAACAGGACTCACAGACATCTCTGGATGAAAACCATATGTTGCAATAAAGAAAGCTATTGCACAAACTATAAAAGCAGCTGCACCACGAAGAAAAGTTCCTGAAGTTTGTTCCCTTTGGGTTTCCATTCACTAAATTTCAGGAAACAAGAACTTTTATTTCAAACAAGGACTCTGCAAGATAAAAAAATAATGTTAACTACATGTGAAAATACACAACAGATAGTAAAATCTGAAAACAATAAAAAGGTATCCCCCTATTTTTGAGAGGCTTGTGTTCCTTCAAACCCTAACATATATTTATTTAACATAAATCGGGAGCCTTTTAACATGGGTTTAAATGGGATATATTCCTGGCCTGTCCGACACAGAAATGCATCACAGGTAAAGCTATCCTACACTAATTAAATAAATACAAAAAACATTAAACAACACTCACCACATTAATAATGACAAGCCTGCTGTTTAACCCATAGGTGGTCAATTAATTTAACCTAAGTCATGCCCAGATGGCCAAAGATTTTCTCACGTGCTTTTTGTTAGCTAAATCAACCCCAAATGACCCCCCAAAGTCACATGGTAACAGTGAAAAGCACACCGCACACGGGACACCGCCCGCTCCCGCAACCTCACACACACGCATAGCTCTCCCTCACTCAGTCAGTCTCGCTGTAACCACACTTGTGTTGACATCAGCATTGTAGTTGCAAAAATATTACATTTCCGTGAATGTATTATATCAAGCACAGTATGAATAGAATATCACTAATATAAGAGTATTTTAACCGAAAACTACTAAAAAAACGAGTAACATCTCTTGAACATCGGAAGATTAGGTAAAGTCTCTTGTTTTCGTCATGTATTTTATCCTAATTTACATTGAAATACATCACGTTTCAGCAAAAGTACTATTTATTTCTGAGAATATGGAAATGAAATATTTTGCTGAAATGACGTACGTATTACAGTGGAAAGTGACGAAAGCAATGACTCGCTTTCTTTCGCTCAAAAGATGTTACCGTAATCGCTTTTCGAATGGTTTTCAGTTAAAAAACTGTTGTATTACAATAATATTCTATCCTAATTCACTTGTGATGCAACAGTTTTTTAACTGAAAACCATTCGAAAAGCGATTACGGTAACATCTTTTGAACGAAAGAAAGCGAAAGTCATTGTTTTCGTCACGATTTTGTCCCACATTCCACTGTAATACTTACGTCATTTCAGCAAAAATATTTCATTTCTGTGAATGTAGCATATCAAGCACAGTATGAATATAATATCATTGTAATATAACAGTATTTTAACCGAAAACTATTAAAAAAACGAGTAACATCTCTTGAACATTGGAAGGTTAGGTGAAGTCTTTTGTTTTCGTCATGTATTTTATCCTATTTTACATTGAAATACATCACGTTTCAGCAAAATTACTATTTATTTCCAAGAATATATTCATTCAGGCGCAGTTTAGGTAAAATATACGTGTGATGTAACAATTTTTTAATTGAAAACGATTCGAAAAACACATACCCTCTAGCCCTGTTCAAGGAGAGGACTGGGAGAAGCTGTTTGGTGCTGCAGAGGATGGCAAGGAAAATGATTTGGATGGATTTTAATGAAAATATTCAGAAATATGGTATCGTAGTATTTATTCAAGGCAATTAGGATAGAATATTATTGTAATACAACAGTAGTGACGATGTGGAGGAGGCGGTGGGATAGAGCGGGGAGGAGGCGGAGGGATAGAGCGGGGACGAGTGGAGATGCCAGCCAGTACATTACGGGTGTATTAATTGTTTTTATAGCTATTTTTGCATTTTAATGTTAAATACTGTACATTACGTTTCAACAAAACTACCATTTATTTCTGAGAACATGGAAATGTAATATTTTTGCTGAAATGATGTACGTATTACAGTGGAAAGTGACGAAAGCAATGACTTTCGCTTTCTTTCGTTCAAAAGATGTTACCGCAATCGCTTTTCGAATGGTTTTCAGTTGTGGGATTATAAGGCTAATGATAGGATAGAATATTATTGTAATACAGTACGAGTACAACAGTTTTTTAACTGAAAACCATTCGAAAAGCGATTACGGAAAATCTTTTGAATAACGAAAGAAAGCGAAAGTCTTTCGTCATGATTTTATCCCACTTCCCACTATAATATGTACGTCATTCTAGCAAAAATATTACATTTCCATATTTATTTCCGAGAATATATTCATTCAGTCACAGTTAAGGTAAAATATACTTGTGATGTAATATTTTAATGAAAATCCAGTATCGTAGTTTTCTCTTGTTTCAAATTTAATTAACAAAGATTGATGTTTCAAATGTAATGAACAAAAATTTATGTCCAGTATCTATAAATTAACTTTAATAAATGAATACTTTGTTTTACATCGTCCTGTGCTACCATACCATGGATTTGGCTACTTTGGGCTCGCAAGAGATCTGCCCTGGCAACTGTACCGACACTCACAGCTGGTGGTGTGTTGGTGCATCGTTTCCATTGTTTACTGGTAGTTACTGGTAAATATTTTTCAACCTAACGAAACTATTACCCGTTTAGAGGTCGACCCCCAATTTTTTGCCAAATAATTTGGTCTTAAAAACTCGAACTACACACAGGTATATACGGTAAATAAGGACATGGGGGGCCAGGGTTTTTTTAGGGGGGCAGCAATAGTACACGGATTTTTAACATTCACGGGTATCTCTGTTACCTAACCCCCGCGAATGTTAAGGGCCGACTGTAACTCACTTTGTTTTTATGTTATACAGTACATAAAAAAAAATTGTACATCAATCTGATATATATATATATATATATATATATATATATATATATATATATATATATATATATATATATATATATATATATATATATATATATATATATATATATATATATATATATATATACATACATACATACATACATACATACATACATATACATACATATACATACATACACAGTCGGCCCTTAACATACGCGGGGGTTAGATAACAGAGATACCCGTGAATGTTAAAAATCCGTGTACTTTTGTCCAAGGTCACCACTCCTCCCAACTCGCTCCCTCCTCCGTCTCCTCCACCTCCACCGTCACTACTGCCGACAACAATCACAAATGTTTTGTGAATAACTGCACCTCCACTTCCTATGTACAGTACTGAACTGTACTGTGCTGTACATTTTTACAAACAATAAACATGACAAGAAAAGCTATTAAAAAAAAAGAGATAAAAACTTCACTTTACTGTACAGTCACTCAATTCCATAACGGGTGGTGAAGTGAGGGCAACGGTGGATTCAGCTGCTTCCTCACTGCCGCCAGTGATTGGTGTTAAATCTCTCCTTCGGTGATCAAAGAACATGGTGATGGGGAGTTGTCGTCTCTTTCATTCATTTCTTCCATGATGTTTTGTATGGAGCGAAAACGTCATCCATCCCTCGCATGAATTTCAGGGCACGCACCATGGAGGGGTCCATACTATAGGCCAGGTTTTTCAGTGCCTCAATATTCCTGGTCATCTCCCCCAACTTCTCCAACATTATTTCTTGGTGCTCTTCCTCATCCTCTTTCCCTTTCGCTTCCTCTTCCTTGCCTGAGTCTACTAACTCCTGTAGATCCTCCTCGGTCAGCTCAGTGTCGTGCTCTTCAATTAGCTCCCTAATCTCGTCCTCTACCATGTCCCGGAAGCCTTCAGCAGCCACTTTCCTTGACAGTGCCAGGGTCTTTCTGAATATTTTCATTAAAATCCATCAAAATCATTTTCCTTGTCATCGTCTTAAGCACCAAACAACTCCTCCCAGTCTTCTCCTTGAACAGGGCTAGAGGGTACGTGTTTTTCGAATCGTTTTCAATTAGAAAATGTTACAGCACATGTATATTTTACCTAAACTGTGCCTGAATGAATATATTCTCAGAAATAAATAGTAGTTTTGCTGAAACGTGATGTATTTCAATGTAAAATAGGATAAAATACATGACGAAAACAAAAGACTTTACCTAACGTTCCAATGTTCAAGAGATGTTACTCGTTTTTTTAATAGTTTTCAGTTAAAATACTGTTATATTACAATGATATTATATTCATACTGTGCTTGATATACTACATTCACGGAAATGTAATATATTTTTGCTGAAATGACGTACGTATTAGTGGAAAATGGGATAAAATCGTGACGAAAACAATGACTTTCGCTTTCTTTCGTTCAAAAGATGTTACCGTAATCGCTTTTCGAATGGTTTTCAGTTAAAAAAACTGTTGCATCACAAGTAAATTAGGATAGAATATTATTGTAATACAACAGTTTTTTAACTGAAAACCATTCGAAAAGCGATTACGGTAACATCTTTTGAACGAGAGAAAGCGAGTCATTGCTTTCGTCACTTTCCACTGTAATACGTACGTCATTTCAGCAGGCGATAGAAACAGGTTGTTAGCGATAACAGAGCATTTTCTTGTGAAATGGTTAGCTTGTAGAATGAAAGACAGTGCAAGTGTTAGCGGCCCTCAGATACGGAACAACCATCACACCAAGCACCTAAAAAACTAAGTGTTATATTACTCAAACTCTTTATTTTGATGATTGAATAGCAATTCTTTTTATTTCAGCTAACAAAAAGTGTTAGGAGGGCTTCAAGGGGAAAAAATGGGTGAAATTCTTGTGGCAGCGGCACCAATAAATCCTTTTTGCATGTATTTTAATGTCACAAATAACGTTTTCGCTAATAACGGTGTTTTTCAGGCACCTATTAAACGTTATTGGTGAGAGCCTACTGTAACTGGTATTTTTTACTTCATATTGCCTACATCAGATAAACTACAGTAATTGAGGTTAGACACTGTTATAAATTTGATTACGGGGTACTGGCAGGATGCCGTTAGAACCAACTGACCCTACCAACAGTGTTGCAAGTAAGACACAGCATTTTTTTTTTTTTTACATTTTTGGTGTCTCCATTTGTTAATTTTTTTTCTGTGGGGTTTCCACAATAGTAAACTGTTTTACCTACAGTATTGTAAAACGATTTGGGAAAAGAAATACTCGGTAAATTAAAATTTTAAATGGAATATCTTGAAACTGGCAACTGTGTGCTGAAGACGATGACAAGGAAAATTATTTTGATGGATTTTCATGAAAATATTCAGAAATATG